AGCATACATCCGTAGCTACACGATAAACACAATATGTCTCACAGAACTCTTTAATTTCGACCAGCGTCTCACACATATAGCATAAAAAGCGTTTTTCTCGGGTATTAAAAATTGTTTAAAAAATTTGTAAATAATTTTTATCATCAGAACTCTTCGGAAGGCGTTAGCATACAGTATTGCGCAAAAATTATCACAGAACTCTCAGAACTGTCGATAATTGGACAGCATCTCATCTTTATTGCTGAAAATTGTATTTTTGGAAACGTTAGCATACATCTGTAGCTACACGATAAGCACAATAAGTCTAACAGAACTCTCTGGTTTCGACCAGCGTCTCACACATATAGCATAAAAAGGGCTTATTTCGCGACTTAAAAATTGTTCAAAAAAATTTGTAAATAATTTCTATCATCAGAACTCTTCGGAAGGCGTTAGCATACATTCAGTATTGCACAAAAATTATCACAGAACTCTCAGAACTGTCGATAATTGGACAGCATCTCATCTTTATTGCTAAAAATTGTATTGTTGGGCTAACATATTATTAAAAATTAAAAATAACACTATTTATCGCCAGAACTCTTTCGGAAACTCATCTAGAACTCTTTGTTTTTCAAAATCCTACAAGAATCTATGGTCAAAATTTGCGTAGGACAAAGTGAGACGCTGCGTAAACCTGGCGTCTCAGTTAGTACTTTCACTTTTTTTCCACTTTAGAGGGCAGAACTATTAGTTTTATCCATCTAGAACTATAGAACTATTGAAAATACGTTCAAAACTCTCAATATTTTATGAGTTTCCATCAAATGATACGCCAGCTTCACACACACACATATATTTCAACGCACATTTTAGCACACACTTTAACATAATAACATTGATTACACTATATTACTCTTCCTATATTATCTTATTCTATTCAGACGTCAGCAAAGTCAGCAAAGTCACTCGGTATATTAACTCAAATTAAATTAACAACAAAGTCCAACTTATATATATCTGAATTAGCAACAATATCTGAACTTACATATAACTTATATATATCTGAATAAACAACAATATGGTATCCAAACGTGGTCTTTGATATCTTACGTCCATCCTCACAAAACATCGCTTAGGATTTATATATTCTGTCCGTCTAGTTAAAGTCCTCTTTCGTCTTTGCTATTTCCCTCTTTTTTACTTCTTTTCTCGCCTTTTCTACCATCTTTATTATTCCAGTCCTTTGCCCTCTTCTCCCATCTGCATTCCATTCTTTCTGTTCACACTCCGTTAACACGTGACACGTACTCTCCTTTGCAACCTGGCATATTCTGCATCTCCTATCCTCTTCCTCTCTCCAATACTGACCTCCTCTTGTTTCATTTCCACATCTGTATCTGGCTATTATGCTCCTATCTTTCATCCTTTTCTTCCCTTCCAGATATTTTTTATCAAAAAGCATTCCAAATAAATAATATTTAAAATTTAGAGTAATAATATCAATTATGTCAATATAAAAACTTTTTCATTATTTCGTGAGAGAAAGCCCGTTTGTAAATAGATAAAAATAATTTCTTTTCTTTAAATTTGTATTTTACTTGGTTAATTACTGCAAGATTGCTATGCTAAAAAGATATACCAATCGACATGGATATATCCAGTTAAATCCAAGAATAAATCATAGCATTGATAACGCTCTATTATCAATGTAAATTATTCGTTTATGAGTTTTCCTAATCACGCGAGTTAAAGCAACGCGTATAATTGTTCTTTCAACATTATCGCGTGCCAGCAGAAAGTTACAAAGATAGCAATTAAGCGATTGATACGCATCTTGGAAAACTTTAGTTTGTTCAAAATTTACAAACCGTATTTCATAACAATGATTTGATTTCCTCACATCTACGTGATAAATTAATCTTGTATATATAATGGTTCAATTAATAATAACGTGGAACAAAAAACAGTATTTTCCGCTCGTGAACAAGAAATACAAACGTAAATGTCAATCTCAAGTTTGATGTGCTTATCCCAGCTCGATATATTTTGTCCTGTGAATCACGAAAAGCACACTCCTAGAACACGCTGTGCGCGTCACATCCAAGCAATCTCTCCAATTGCAATCCACCCAATGCGTCCACCAATATCGAGATATGAGGTACGTGCTCTATTTGCTTCCTTATGCTCAAAAACTCTTCCATAAAGACCGAAATTAGACAAACACTTTTATTAATAAAATAGTTTGCTTATACAGGGTGTTAGTTAAGTATGTTCCCAAACTCAACAGAGTGATTCTTTGGTTTATTTCAAGTAAAAAAGTCCATATAAACATGTGTCCTAAACGGCTTAGTTTCCAAAATAAAAAAATTTAAACGTGTAGTAATAATCTGTTTATTTGAAAGAAATACAATTTGAACTAGTCAAAAACTAGTCAAAAACAGAAAAATAAAAACAGGCTTCAGTTCTTCTGACGAAATAAAACAATTAGATAAATTGTTGAAAATGTCCACCTTGCGCCATAATACATCCATCGAGCCTTCTTCTCAAAGATTGACGTACAGGCTCAAAGATACCAGGTGTGTTACGTATTGCCTCGCATGGGGCAACTATTCGATTCCTCAAATCATTCTCATTCTCAATTGGGGTGGTATAAACCAATGATTTCAGATGCCCCCAAAGGAAATAATCCAAAGGATTTAAGTCTGGTGATCTAGGAGGCCAAAGTTGAGTTCCTGCTCGACCTATCCTGTATTTCGGAAACTAAGTCGTTTAGGACACATGTTTATATGGACTTTTTTATTTGAAATAAACCAAAGAATCGCTTTGTTTGGGAACATACTTAACTAACACCCTGTATGTTGCATCCAGCGTTAATTACATAGTAATTAAATAAGTAAAATGCTACATTCAAAAAAGAGGAATAGTTCTTACTCATTGATATATTTCTCTCTTTCGTGATTTGTGAAATATAGACAATTATAAAATAAATATATAGACTTTACAAAGTTTATGGCTCATAATTATTCTGATAAATACATGGAAAAAAAATCGATCCTCGATTATCGGAATAATAACTGAATATGTAGTTATATACGAAATGGTATGAAATCAGTGCACTTCGATTTTTAAATTAGGTCAAGTTCTCTTACGTAACAGTTAGTCTATATAAAACGCTATAAGGATTCCATATCGAACCGACTAATCTTACAATGCTGGCATCGCTTTACTAATCAGTTCGATAAAAGGATATATAAGTGATTTGCCCTTTAAGAGAATACTGGGCGCGGTAACACAGAAAAAGAATAATGCCATATCTTTAATCGTTGCGTTAAGTATTCAATTACGGATGTCTTACATATTCTTTAGCAATGTCTCGTGATAGCTTATACAGCAAATATTTATAAATTATATATTTTAAATCATATACCTACATATTAAATTATATACATGTAGTATATATAATAATTAATTTTGAAGTTTGCAATCGAGGGGGTAACCACTAGCTGAAATATTGTCCCACAGATTATATGACATCATATGATTTCATCTGATTACAAATAATTGTTTTCACTACATATTAAGTCATTTGGTAAAATATACGAATTTATTTAATATTATACAATAATTTATCGTGGTTGCATATATAATTATACATAGAGAGATTTCATATAAATTTTATAATGATTTCGAGGACTCTGTCCCACGATTGCATTAAGTGGTTACCCCCTCGTTTGCAACACACTGTTGAAACGAAGAAGAATGAAGCAGTGCTTTTCTCGTTAACTAATGAGAAAAGTATCCATCAAGTAAAACGATGAACAAGTTCTACTGAATAAGAGTAATGCGCAGTTGCCTATGAGAAAAGCTTATAAACATTGAGTTGATGAAGAAACTATTCGGAAAAATAAATTAATGAATAAAATTTATTTACATAGATATGCGACATGAACAATAGAACATTGTTACAGGAGATTTGTAGACATACATAAATTTATTTCATTAAACGCCCACAATCAGCGTTTTCTCATAATTATTCAATATAAAGGAACAAATAGAACTGATTATAATCAATTGTTCTCTCATCGATTCTCCCTGTAATAGTTTTCCTTTAGGACATCGTGAGTTCCTAATGGCGATGAACAATTAATGATAATAGATGATAATAGCCAGCGGCGATATTGTGTTTCGCGTTAATTACGGCTTTCTAATTCCGAAAATAATTATTTAATAATACAGAACACCTCTCATGTCTCATACTCGAAGAGTTTCCAATCGATAACGATATTATTAGAAAACGTTATGCACAAATGCAACTTACAAAAAGCTCTTTAATGTAGATGTTTATGCTGATTTCTGTCAATATTACATTGCTAGGAAGAGCTAAGAACAATTTTTTACCATTATTTTTTATCATCACTATCAATAAATTGTATATACCAATTAACGTTAATTACTCTTATTAATTTCATTCTATGACTTTTTTAATGTTAGATATTATAGACTTGTTTAAAAAATATTGGCTTTAAAATTACAGTTAATAAATTTCAAATAAAAAGGAATAAGAATTAGTTAATGTTTCCATTTCAATACGTTCAAAAATGCAAATACACAATGCTGCGTATTTGCTATTTCAATTTTCCTATAATTTCTTAACGATAAGCTTAATTAAGTATTGACATTGTTTAGATAAGATAGCGAATGTGCGAAGTATAACTAATTACGATCGTTCAAGAGCACCCAATTACTCGTAACCGTCGTACTTAAGTCAAGGAGTTCGGTCATAATTAAATCAGTTACTCCGATTTTACGGTGACACACGATAAAAAGGCGAGATGTTTAATTCATTAGTATTCCTTGTCCGGCACACTCGCTCAAAATTCATCCGATCGATCTCTTTCAAGAATTAAATCTTATAGTGGAATAAGTAGAAAGGACTATTACTTTACACATATTTTAACTTCTACAGATATACATACATTATAAAATTAGACAATGCAGTCCGATTATGTTACATTTAGGCTCAGCAATCGAGAAATTATGCGAATGTGCCTTGGAAGACAGCTTGGCTGACCGAGGTTCCGTCGTAAGAGCTGCCAGATGTCTCCTAGGCTCAGTGACCAAAGTCCTCCTCCTGGCAGACATCGTCGTAGTCAATCAATTGCTTCATGCCAAGGATAAGGTCGCCCGCAGTCTCGGGCGCCTCGAAAGTGTCTCGAATTTCACAGAATTCGTCAAGGCGTTTAGCCAATTTGGAGGAGAGATGGTCGAGTTGGCACATTTAACGGGTGATCGTCAGGTGAGATTTATTTCTTGCAAATCAATATTTCATTCATGAATTCTATATTAATTTCTATTAGTATATACCGTGATTTAATTAAACTTTTTACACTTTATTTTCAGAATGATCTCAAAGACGAGAGGCGACGTGCGCAGATGGCAGCAGCCCGACAAGTATTAGAGAGAAGCACCATGATGCTACTCACGTCCAGCAAGACATGTCTAAGGCACCCCGAATGTCCATCCGCTAAGGAGAACAGAGACACCGTTTTTTGCCAAATGAGAAGAGCGATGGATCTGATACATTACGTTGTCAAGGACGGAGTATTAGACTGTAGCGAATCTCAATCCTACTCGAATTCACAGGTAAGCTGTCTATATCAAGAATACTTTATAAACGCCCATAAATGATGAAAACATTTACCACTCAACATCATTAAAATTAATTTAATAAAGCTAAAAGAGTAATCAAATTGTGAAATTATATAATAATAGTTTTTTCGATATTTATCTATTCACGATCTATTAATCTGCGGAACAAAATAGCGAACTATTTAAAAATTAATATAAAAATACCCAGACAACACGCAATGTCTACAAGATGTCTTTATGATGTCTTTTAAATATCTTTTAGACATGTATTTATACCATATATTCCAAAAGAGGTCTTCATAACGTTTTTTAAACATGTACGTATGTTGTTTGAGTAATGAGAAAATAATTATCGATACCAATATTCTCGCGTTAAAGCTTGCCAAGAAACACTATAATAATCGCAGTTGCCAAATAAGCATGCGCCTCTCATTATTATGCTACAGCGAAAATACATATCCATATCGTAAGGATTAAAAAAGTAATACATGATAAAATGTTTCTGAAAGTCTTGGAAACGTTCCAAAGAGCCTTTGCCCGCCAAATTGTGATTTACAAATCCTAATATGCGATTTAAATGACCTTGAGCCGCGATCTATTACCGTAGCAGAAGTTGTAAATGAGATATCGAAATGATCTTAGTACGACTCGAGAAACCCATAAATATAATAGTACGTCTGGCCTGGTGAAATCGATAAGCCGTGGTCGAAGATGGTATATAGGAGAATCAATGGAATATGTCCTACAAATATCAATGGACTACGATTGCATACCACACAATCGATTATTCATGACGATGATTATTTCGGCTTTGATAAATTTGTGATCGCTAATAATTTATATATTGTTAATACGGAGGATTATTTAAATATTTTTTAATAATCTTCCGTATTAAGTACATTTTAATATATTTATTATTTGTATTTAGATAATGAAAAAAATTAACAGTGCAAAACTATCGAAAGAAAACCTATATAACGAGAAATTGGAAGCAAAATACGAAAAAAAAATTCCACTCATGGATTTAAAACGGATAATTATTTAATGCCGAAATTATTACATACTCGTACATGGATAGAGTGTAAATCATAAATCATCCCATACAAATTTTATGTTAAAATTAAACATCTATTAAAAATTGCTTATAAGAAATTAAATTGTGGCAGTGCTGGCGAAATTTTGTGGTTGCATAAAAAGTCTATTCAACGGTTATCCAAAAGCAATGATGAAAAGTTTTCACCGCAGGAGAAAAATTGTTGCATCATAAATAACACGGTCATTATAAAGAATATGAATGGTTATTCGCATCATGCCAAATTGTGCACCAGCATTTATATATCGGTATTTCGACGCGCGATGCTTTCATTCCGTACCAGATTTCTTTTAGCATGAAATAAAAGAGGGGAAATATTTCACGTATTACCGACACTTACCGATACTGTTGGGTCATGTTGAACAACTTTTATCCGTAGAAAAATATATCCTTACATTTTACACTCAAGTACTATCCACTTTCCATGCGACATAATCGATTTTGAAGTGATTGTAGACAACCTGGCCAAGTGGGACGACGCTCCCAAACGTGACATCTCTAAAAGATTTAATATTATTTGTGTCGTGTCTAATATTCGTCAGAATATAAGTGTTTTCCAACGTTATAAAATATGAGTGTGCGAAAAAATATAGACTCGTTATATATATTAAATATTTTAAAATATTTAAATAATTAAGATGTTTAAAGAAAGGTATCTGCTACATTTTTCAAGAAAAATATTTCTTCTACGACTGCCATTATTTGCAGAGTCCGCAGCAGGAAGACTGGGATAGCAGTACCGTTTGCTCAGCTTTGAAACACTTCGAAAGGCTCGTCGAAACAACGAGGATGACCCTGCTGGGACCGGGTTGTCGCGAAACACTTACATCAGCGCTTGAAACAGTGGTCGAGAGGACACAAGACTTCACCGACAGCGCTTATACGAGTCACGAGCACAGGGAAAATATTCTTCTGCTTTGTGATCGCGCGAAACTCGAGCTCAATACACTCTTACGGATCGGCAATAGTATGGTGAGTCAATAAAGTTTACTCTATTTTACAAGAAAAATGCGCGCGACTAAATATTTAATAATATTTAATAATACTTAATAATATCGTGTAAGAATGCGCAAAAAATCTTAGTACTATTGATTGTGATAAGACTTGTAAAGTGAAAATAATAACATAATATTGAAATCATCTAAAAGAGATAAAAAAGCAGAGTCTACACAGTTGTTGGTGCGCTATAACGATAATATTTAAAACTAGTTTACTAGAAACAAATTAGCTTACAATAAATTCTGGTAAAAATGACCGAATATGTTTCGAATAACATAATCCGAATAAAAAATATTCCCTAATAAATCAAACATGATAAAGTATGAAATGATGAATATCGTATTCCATCAGAATTACGAGGGCGGTGGAGGTTCACCTAGCTCGGAAATGGAACAAGCGGTGATGGGTGTGTTACGGGCGACTAGAGACCTTCGCCAGCAGCTCAGCGCGACGACGATGGAACAGGCCGGCGATCTTGGCCAAGTGACAAAAGCCGGCCAGGAACTCGTGTCAACGATCAGAAATCTCGCGTTGGCCAATGACATCGACCGTCTGCAGGAGAGCAGCGACAGGTTCCACGAGTATATCGAACACATTCTCGAAGTAAGCTCCCAGACGTGGCCCACGCACTGCATGTCCGCATTCGCATGCACGTGCATTCTAAGTTCAAAGTCCACGAATAACCAGAGTTCTTTTCGAAGAATATTATCGAATTACGAAATTGGCATGCCTTAATTTTGCATTGAGTTGGTTCTAAAACATATTGATTTATTAAACATAGTACGCAGGGATTACATTCATCATTTCTAGATTGCAATCAGTTGCAGCACCCCTAATTGGATTTATTTTCACGTCTAACTTTAAGTGAAGTTTAGACCACGTAGTTCATTGCTCATATCTGACGTTAACAATAAATCTCTGTGACTTTGAAGTGATTTACCAATACAATGCATATAAAAATTGGAATACACGGTTATTTCTTTATCGATATATAAGTCTTCGAATGTTGGAATTATTGCATATTATTCTTCCTTCTAGGTATGCAAACTTCTGAGACACGTTGCGCTTTCGGAATCATTGCAAGTGTCGGCCAAGTTCACGGAGATCAACTTAAGAATATATGGTCCTCAGGTCGTAACGGCCGCGCACACGTTAGCTAGGCATCCCACCAGTAAGATAGCTAAAGAAAATCTCGAAGGTAAGTCATATAAACGCTTTAATAACCCACTAAATTTGCAACAATGATTGCTAATCATTTAACGTTTTTATATATTTCACAGTATTTGCTGACATGTGGCAGTGGCTCATGACTGATGTGACGACAGTAGCGAAAGATGTTTTGGAACTCAGTCAAAACCGGCCAGAGAAACAGGTTTACATGTCTTTACCGCGGCCAGGGGTACGCATAATCATCTCAATAAACGATCTCTCAATACATTCTATATCATATTAATATATAAATTTAAAAAATCAAGAAAAACTCTCTACTTGAGTTATTTCTCATTAGATATAATGAAATAAACGGTATACGCTTTATTTTAGAAACATGGCACGACGAGCAAACCGCTAAAACCAGTACGGTTGGACAGCGAGGAGCAGGCAAAGATCGCTAAGGCAGGACTCGAGATGAAATTGATAACCTCGGAGATGGATGCCGAGACGGAAAAGTGGCAGGAGAGCGGAAGCACTCTAGAAGAGAACAACGACATCGTGAAGCGGGCGAAGAATATGTCATCGATGGCATTCTCGATGTACCAATTCACGCGAGGTGAAGGCGCCCTGAAGACCACCCAGGACCTATTCACCCAAGCTGAGTATTTCGCCGAAGAGGCAAACAGATTGTACAAGGTTGTGAGACAATTCAGTTACCAGGTACGTAGCGGCCGGCTAATATACCGATGTAGATCGAAAGAGAGATGACACACGTTTTTTTAATTGGACTGATGTTGATATATCTATATATCATCCTTACTTCTATAATCATTCTTTTACCATTGTTTATTATACGGACTCTATATTGGACTTGATTCCGCGTTTCTTGATCCTCGCTATATTGGAAATCTTTTCACTTATACATTCGCTGTTGAGTTTTCGTTTCTTCGTAAGTCGCAACGTCGAAGCTGCATCAAGTCTGCATCGAAAATTTACTTATATCTTAATTCATGCTAATATTTTTATAAATATTTAATGGTAGATGATAACAATAATTATTGCTACTTTAACATTCAATAAAAGAAATTTCATCATACGTAGAAATGTAGAAATATTCGCATATCTTTCATATCGTAATACCTTCAAAGTAGATATATGTTGATATGTTGAAATACAGGGTGAGTAAAAAGTCCCGAACCGGTAAAATATCTCGAAAACTAAGCATTTCCGAAAGAAATGTTTCCTCTAAAAGTTGTAAGATTTTAAATGATATGATAATAATAGCTGGTGTCGAGAGCTTTTCAAAACACTACAATAAAGTTATTTTTCATAAAGTACTTTTCGAGTTATGAGGTTTGAAAGTTACAGCACCACTGGCATTAGCATTACGCAATTTAAAAAAATCGACATGATCTTAACCTGACCTTGGCGACACCACCCAAGGTCAGACTTTTGTAGGAAACATTTCTTTCGAAAATGCTTAATTTTCGAGATATTTCACCGGGACTTTTTACTCACCCTGTATACTACTTGATTTCAGTTGAATTTTATTATAAAGCTTAATTTCTGATTGTTTCATGAAACGATTGCTTAAAAAAGAAATCAATAATATTTTCAGTAATTTTTTCAGTAGATAGATGATAAAAATTAAAAAATTAGAATAAGTAATTTAACTTTTAACAAGTGTAAAAATAGAAAATATCAGTTGAAAGCGCTAGCTTACTACCTTGTTATTATTTTATTTTATGCTACTATAAATGTAGCTTCCAGACCAGAAGTAGCTTCGACATGCGTTATTAGCATTAGACATGTTCGAATTAACACGTTTGCTACCCTCTTTCGAACCCCTCCTAGCTAGGCCGAATATATAGTAACCTGAAACCACTTTGGTCTCTCTTTATACTCTTCTTAAGAGAAACAACAAGACGCTAACCTTGTAATATATTCTGTATTATATACAATCCTTTTTATACCCTCGCTCTTGAATGCCTCCATCCAGGTAACTTTTTCTCTCTTTACTTTAGACCCTTTTGAACTAATAGATATCATTTTCGCCCTAACAAATCATTCATTGCCATATATATATATATATTTATATGTATATATAGCGCTCACTTTCTCTGCAGCGTCAATGTTCTACTGTTGTTGGGTGTTGTCATTACATTTGTATATACTATGTTTGTATTGCTATGCAACATCACGCACGTAGATTTTCTTATTGATCATTACGAATAGCATAGAAAATTGTTTTATATAAAATATAAGCAAATATAAAGATGTTGGAGAAACGGTTAGAATTAATATTTAAGAAAGAACTATTTCAAGAGTCATCGCAAAAAAACTGCCGTGACGATTCAGTATACTCATATAAGAATCAAGTACCTATAAGTATAATTTGCATTCAAAAACTCAAATTTAAAATTTTTTATTTGTATTATAATTGTTAGTGTACGATTTAAATAAGTTTCGAAGATTGGAGCAATTTTCGCGTATATCACGTCATTTAAATTGTCATTAATGAACGTTTATGATTTTGTGTTAGTAAATCTATTTTATGTACATACATTTACAACTTTTTTTGTACGATTAGTAAGGTGTGTTTTAGATGCTACGGGAATGCTTCCGTCTATGGACGACGTCTATGTGCATTGTGGTCCCTCTCCTTCCACTATCTGGGGCATGAGTATTATGTCTCACAATTTTTGCTAGCTTCCTTCATCGTATGTTTTATTAAGCCAACTATCAAATAATATTCATCAATAAATATCTACATAATTAAATGCTTATTAATACATAATTAAATACTTCAGATATTAAAAATTAAATCTTTAAAAAAGTTAAAATCTGAGAAACTTTTCTGTTTTTTCTCGAAAACATTTGGTCATTAATATTCTTTGGTAACTAATTCATTAACATTTGATAAATTAATATTGTCTCGAAAAAACAAAATTCATGAAGTAAGCTTGCAAAATAATAAGGTCTGTACTATTTCACTGCCACTTCACACAGTTACTTTAATATCTGTATCAAGAAATCTTTTACGTGCCGTTAAAGTTTTGCATTGTGTTTTCCTAGGACAGATAGATGATCTTTCTGTTAACTTCTTAGATGTAAACTTCTAAGTATCTACGATACGTATTACAAAGTATTTATTATTAGTCATTTAATAAACTATCACAACAATAGAATCAAGCATCTTGCTTTACAGAATCTTTAAGAAATGCTAAATATATACAGAATATAATATCGCAAGATAAATACGTTCAAAAATTTTTCAACGATTGTTAATCTATACTTATTATTTATCTATACTATATTATCTATATTTACATTATTTATTTTATTTATTTATCACGTGAATCCAGAGAGAAAATATAATAGCACATGCTGTAAATTATTTGTTTAGACTTATATGTACTTAAATGTCTTAATATGAAAATTATTATTAAACAATAAAATATAACTCTTAAAGACATATAACATATCGAAAATAAATACTATAAAATTTTAAATAATTTTGTTTTGATATATACATATATATATACCATTTTACAAATTATTTTTATCAATAATTAAATGCTATATATTAAATGCTTTTATGTGTTATTCGGTCGTTGAAAATTAAATATGAACAAGTTTATTTTGCGATACGAACGAAAACGTAAGTTTGTATACGATGTTACATGGGTGCAGGTACCAGGTGGACCACACAAGAAAGACCTCTTGGAAAATTTGGATAGAGTGCCGACTTACGTTCAACAATTGCAATTCACCGTGAAGAATCCTACCGTCGGCAAGGCCGCCACTTTTACGAAGGTCGACAATGTTATACAAGAAACAAAAAATCTCATGAATGTGATCTCGAAGGTGGTCACAACGTGTTTCGTCTGCGCCACAAAGGTGAGCCATGAGAATATTTTATATACCCGATCTATCTACTTTCTGAATGAACGAAGACATGTTTATGCGCGAATTTCTTTTATGACTGAGGTTGCCTGTATTGGACGAGTTTGTATACGATCTAAGAGAAAAGAAAAAAAGTATAATATTTCATTCATAATACCTTACCATATTTCTTGCTGATATTAAAACGTCAGCAAAAATAGCAAATTTTACATTTACAGGTAACTTTAGCCTTTCAGAGCCATTTATATAAAACAGTAACACAGAGCTGAAATTGAAAAATGACATTGAAAATTATTTATGAAATAACATGAATTAAGAGATTGTGAAATTCTCTTCAGAATGTATTAATCTGCGTGAATATTTGTTGTATCGAAATATTAGTTGTTATCGGCATAAAATATTGTCGTTACTTTTACCGAATTAATGTTACAAATAATTTGCGTTTTCATATTGTAAGATCGTTTCAAGTATTCGCACAGATATCAGAATCGAAGAGCCACAGAGACACGCGTTCAGGTGAAAGATAAATCGAGTGTACGTCTATCTCCTTCCATTCTATTCAATACCTAGCACAATCTCATCATGCCGCAATACATGGAGCTCAGCCCGACGATAATGCCCGGCCAGGCCGAAGAGGATTGTTTATATCCGATTAGTCCGCAATTGTTGCCCTCCACGAGCCCTTACGTGCAACCTCATCCACTCACATCCGCGCAATTTCACAATATCCTAAAACCACCCCCTAGCCTGAGCCTGTCCCTACTCCCCTTCAATTACAGCCCGGGACATCCCAATGTCGGGCTGTCCCGGAATTCTGGCTCTTTCGTGCATTCGTCCGTCTTACCGTATACGACGCCCGGAACGCAGCAGCCACCCTACTGCCTACAGAATCTGCAGCTCCTCCAACTGCAGCTGCACCATGCACAACTGCAGCACTTAAGACACTCAACGCTACCGAGATAATAGCAGCCTTGTGTAATACGTCGTGCCGTAGCACGTGGCACGTGACACTGTCGTTTCACGCGCACGCACGAACACGTCGAGAACACTACACGTTCTTTGTACAGGTTCGACCTTGGTTTCATTTCAGCTTCTTCGTTTTATTTCGTATCACCTAATTTCAATCATGCTAGGATCCAATCGTCGTAATTTCAATAACAGACTTCTACCGATAAAACGGTTACTTTCTTTTTCGATGAATTTCAGAATGCAGGGTTATGTTGGGGGGGTAAGTTAATTTTTTCTTTTAACTAAGTTAAGTATTTCAGAGTCTTATAAATAACAGAAATGACAAACATATACTTCATTTAGAATATACTCTATATTTTATTGAAACTTTTTGTCTAAATATATATATATATATATATATATGTGTGTGTATATATATAGATTTCAATCTATCAAAAACTAGATATATTAAAATATACGGGTTTTGCTAGATTGAAATCAATATATAATGTAAATAATATTGGTATAGGAATAAGTTTCCGCCCATTGTAGAAAGATGTCGTTAGTAGCGTTGCTTGTGTGTTTGATAGAACGGCAACACATGTGTTTGAAAAGTTTGTGTTCAAACTTTTGAGCCCAATAGTTGGCATTCGTTCGAAGCGTAAAAAAGAGTAACTTTTTTTGCGTTGAAGATGTCGGAATTTATTCCAAAAAAGCAACATTTGCGGGAAGTTTTACTCCATTAATTTATTTTAAAGAAAAGTGCAGAATCGTATCGTTTGCTCGTAGATGTTTACGGTGAGCATACTCCATCGAAAACCAGTTGTAAAGAATGGTTTCGGCGATTCAACAGTGGTG